ATAAAAATCATATTTGGCATATAAAGTAAAATTAATTTTTCCCGGCAGTTTCCCCCCTTTCTATTGCAAAGGCCCCAAATGATCATTTAAAATATAATTGTTATAAAAAAAATAGTGGACATATGTTAAATCTAGATGAGAAAATAAAGTATTAGATTATAATAATCAACATAAAAAAGATTTAGCTACATCATTAGAACTTATGAGTAATGGATATCTATGGTTACTAAATCTGATGATATTCAAATGCAAGAAAAAGTTTTAAAATCAATTATATCAGCTTTACAAACCTTTGATTATAATGAAGATAATAATAAGAATAGTCAAACAACACCAAGTTTATTTGTAATTAATACAATATTTAAGTTACACCATATTAATTTTAAAACTTTTAATAATATTTTAATAATATTTTAATATCATAAGAATGTATAAAATTAAGAAAATATTTTGCAAATATGATAGAAATAGATTTAAAGGATATATATCAATAACAAAATATTTTAGAATCACCAAATTCACTTTATGAATATCAAAATGCTCTTCAACCTTTAATGTTTTGTTTTTTTAAAGGATTAATACAAACATTATTAGAATAAAAACAAACAAGATTTAATAAAAAAAATAAATAAACAAATCCAATTAATCAACAAAAAATTCAAAGAATTACAGTTTTCTTAACTTCAGTAATTCTTTCAATTTCTCAAAACAAAATCAAACTTTGGCTTCTAAAAATATTATCTAATTTATGTTGTAAACCTCGTTTATTAACATCATTTTATAAAGTACTTCAATTAATTCATGTTATACCTCATATAATAAAACATAAAAAACTATTAGGAAAAAAAAGAATGTTAGAAGCAAATCCTCTTTTAAGAATTAAAAACAAAATAATATTTGGAATTTATGTGTAATAGATAAGGATGGTACTGCAATTGTTTTTTCAAATCTGCAATATTGCGGATTTTTGAATTGAATTACGCATAGTAATCCACAATTCCGCAATTCAA